GGGGGCTGGGTCCGGGAGCTCTGGGGGTGCAGCGGGGGCACCGATGGGGGGGCCTGGGGGCACCGGGGGAGGGAACACGGTGGGTCTGGGGGGTGTTGGGGTGAGGGCCGGTGGGGGTCTCCCCATGGGCTCTGGACCTGTCCCTGTGTGCCAGGTTCCCCCCATATATGACCCCCGTGTGCCCCCCGAGCACACCAATGGCCTTTGGGCCCTCCACGTGTCCCCACATCCCCAAGGCACCCCCAGATGTTTCCCACATGTGTCTCTGCACCCCAGTTCCTGCACAGATGCGTCCCACACGTGACCCCCCACCCCAGGACACCCCATAGCCAGCCCAGTGTCCTTCCTGAGCCGTTCCCCAGTGCCGCCCGCAGCCCCTTTCCCACGGGGATGGAGGGGCGTGGGGAGGACGAGGTGACACCCCCAGACGTGTCCCACACCCCCCGGCACACGTCCCCTGTTCCCCCAGACGTGCCCCATGTGTGTCCCTGTGCCCCACTCGCACACCACGCGTGTCCCCACGCCTCGGGGCACCCCACAGACCAGCCGGGGGGTCCCCGGCGCCACCGCAGCCCCGCTGTCCCCCCAGGACCTCCCCGCAGGGATGGAGGGGCGCGGGGAGGAGGCGCCGGAGCCGGAGGTGTCGGAGCCCTCAGAGGAGGAGGAAGAGGAGGAGGAGGAGGAGGAAGAGGAGGAGGACGACGGCTCCGGGGTGCGGGTGACGCCGGCGCTGCTGAAGGCCACGACGGGCGAGTTCTCGCTGGAGTCCATCCTGCTGCTGCGGCTGCACGGCCGCGGCATCGCCCACCTGGGCTGCCTGGCCGACTGCTCCAACCTGGAGTGGCTGGACCTGTCCGGCAACGCCATCGCGGGGCTGGCGCCGCTGGCCACGCTGCGCGCCCTGGCCGTGCTCAACCTGGCCGCCAACCGCGTGGCCAGCGTGGAGCCGCTGCGGGGCTGCGGCAGCCTGCGCCGGCTCAACCTGGCTGGCAACCGGCTGCGCAGCCTGCGCCAGCTGCGCTGCCTGCGGGGCCTGCGGCACCTGGAGAGCCTGCGCCTGCGGGACCCGCTGGGCAACCTGGGCAACCCGCTGTGCGCCGCCGCGCCGGCCTACCGCGCCGCGCTGGCCGCCATGCTGCCCGGCCTCAAGGCCATCGACGGGCAGCGCGTGGCGGGCCGCGGCAGCGAGCTGTTCCGCCTGTGCCCGCGCCGACGACTCCATCGCGCAGGCCCGGCGCGCGCTCGGCCGCCGGCAGCACGGCGACTTCGGATTCTGAGCGCCGCGGGGAACCGGCACGGCCCCACGGCCTGCATCGTCTGAGCCGGGGCACCCCGGAGATGGGACCGGAGAACCCCAAAGCCACCACAGCCCAAAGCCACCCTCATCGGAGCCACAGGACCCCAAAAACTGGGCCAGGAGAACACCCAGAGCCACAACAGCCTGAGCTGAGACCCCAAAACCAGGGCTGGGATAGCCCCAGAGCCATCATGAGTCCAGCTGCTTCATCTTCCGAACTGTGAGACCCCAAAACCAGGTCTAGGAGCCCCTCAGTGCCACCCCTGCCCAACTTCATTTCCTTAGCTGTGGGAGCCCAGAAATGGATCCAGGAAAGCCCCAGAGCCCACGCTGTCACCGTGAGACCCCCAGAGCCCAGAAATGGATCCAGGAAAGCCCCAGAGCCCACCCTGCCACCGTGAGACCCCCAGAGCCCACGCTGTCACCGTGAGACCCCCAGAGCCCAGAAATGGATCCAGGAAAGCCCCAGAGCCCACGCTGCCACCGTGAGACCCCCAGAGCCCAGAAATGGATCCAGGAAAGCCCCAGAGCCCACCCTGCCACCGTGAGACCCCCCAGAGCCCAGAAATGGATCCAGGAAAGCCCCAGAGCCCACCCTGCCACCGTGAGACCCCCAGAGCCACCACAAGCCTGTCTCCTTCCCCTGGGGGACCCCCCCACTGGAGCTGGGGTACCCCCAGAGCCCCCCCACCCAGCACAGCATCCCCAGGGAGCACCAGGGGAGCCGTGGGGAGCCCAGCCTCGGCTGTGGGACCCTCGGGGACAGTGGTGGCACTGCGCATTAAACATGTCCCACCCTCCAGTGTCCCTCTGTCCTGCGGCCTCAGGGGCTCCCGTTGCTCAGCCCACACCCTTCAGGTCCCTGTCTTTCACCCCTGGGGACAAGAGGTGACAAAGGCAGTGGTGACGTGCAGCCCACTGCCCACCCACCCCTGGGGACAACGGGGGGGCGACAGGGGCGGTGCCAGCTGGGAATAAGAGCCGTGAGAGCGGAGCCAGCGCTGGGTTTACTGCGGAGCGGGGACAGGCGGGAGGGGGGGACACATCGGGGACCCTCCTTGGTCCCACGGGGCTGGGGGGTGACAAGCGGGGCAGGCCGGGACCGCCGTGGCCGCGTCCGTCGGTGCCGCGGTGCCTGGAAGGGGGACACGGAGGGGGGCTGTGATGGGATGCCCGTGTCCCCCCCCCCGTCCCCGTCCCGCGGGGTCCCCGGGGGCGCCCCGTACCCACCTAGGCTGGCAGACCCCGGGAGAAGGCGAACATTCCGGGCAGGTACGGCGTGTCCCCCCCTCTGCCGGCCTCCTCCACCGCCCGGCACTCGGCTTCGTCCCGCTGCCGGATCTCCTGCGGGCACAGCAGGGGCTGGCACCGGCTGGGGACGCGGGGGGGGGGGGGCGGGGG